AAACGGACAATGTCAAAGGTAAGGTGGATCCCTGGCGACTTTGCACCGTCACTCAAGTTGAAGAACTCAAGTCGATAGTCAGGATTCTCCCCGTGTGGGCGTCTGGAATAGTTTTCGCAACGGTATACAGTCAGATGAACACAATGTTTGTTATACAAGGCAACACCATGGACCAACATATTGGCCCTCATTTTGAAATCCCATCAGCATCCTTATCCCTCTTTGATACAGTCAGTGTCATTTTCTGGGTGCCCGTTTACGACCGAATAATCATCCCGTTTGCAAGAAAGTTCACTCGCCATGAACGGGGATTTACACAGCTCCAAAGAATGGGCATTGGACTTGTCATCTCGACTTTCGCCATGGTCGTTGCTGGTTCACTAGAGGTTATTCGACTCGACAATGTGAGAAGAAATAATTACTATGATCTTAAAAAGATCCCCATGTCAATCTTCTGGCAAGTGCCTCAGTACTTTCTGGTCGGATGTGCAGAAGTTTTCACATTCGTTGGACAACTGGAGTTCTTTTACGACCAGGCGCCTGATGCGATGAGAAGCTTATTGTCGGCTCTCTCTCTCACGACGGTTGCATTAGGCAACTACCTGAGTACTCTCTTAGTGACGATTGTGACCGACATTACCACAAGACACGGGAAACTTGGTTGGATTCCGGAAAATTTGAACCGGGGCCATCTCGACTACTTCTATTGGTTGTTGGCTATCCTCAGCATAATCAACTTCTTCGTGTATCTGTTGATTGCAAAGTTTTACACTTACAAGAAGGTCACGGGAAAACCTCGTTGATTCAGTTTATACAAGTTATGCATTTAGCAATTCATATGCTTTATTACCAGACGATGAAAATTTGTAAATACAGATGGGAACTGGGGAATGATGAGTGTGTTTTCTTCTTAATCCAAGAGTCTATTGTTAATTTCTGCTTAGTTTTTCTGTTCTTGAAACTGTTTTTCCGGTAACATCAATAGAATTCAAGTTGGGAACACAAGCATGTTTGGTTAAGCTTGAAAAGTTTACTTATAAGTAAATAAGTAGATTTTGGAATAAATAATCTTTTATT